ACGGACACCATTACTCCGCTTTTAATATGATTAAGATAATACTCTTATTAAGAGACAACCATGTAAACAGCATTTCGATTGTAATTTCCCTTCATATTCTGTGAGCAGCTACTATACCAAAATGAGGTAGCATAATTAAAATAGGGTTGAATCAAAGCTCCTGCCAATAATTTTAAAGAATGAACATCTTTTAAACAATGAAGACTTTTGTATGTAGAGCTGCCTCCAAAACCTTCTGAGTAGTGATGAGATGCCAATGTCTTCAAAAAACACAGCAAATTTCATGACAGCATTGACCTAAAATGAATGGTATGGCCTGTTGCCAATTAAAGAAAAGCAAAAACTGTGCCGAGTAGTAAAAATTGCCAGTGTAATTTTAGGTAAAGCACAAAAACAACCAAATGAAATGTACTTAATGAGAATTAAACAGAAAGCACACGTCATTCTTGAAGATTGTTGCCATCACTTAAATATAGCATCTAGGCTTTTGCCATTAAAAAGGCGTCTTAGACTGTCACAGTCAAATAAATGTTCAGATGGATCCAAGTGCGAGTGAAAAATAATATTTCTTTGACATTTAAAATAAATGCAAATAGTGAGTGCGGTGCTAGGACTAGGAGAAAACAGGACAGGGATCAGGCAGGAAAACAGGGTCTAGTGGTAACTCCTCACGGTCCTGAGCACAGACAAATGCACACATAAGCACACGTAACCAACTGACAAGGAAACACAGAAAATGTCGCCCATATATAGGCATGATAATGAGCCTCAGCTGGCGAGCTAATCAAACTAGCTGAGTGCCGTCATAACACATGACCAGGGGCCTGTTTCAGTAAGGAGGTTCAAACAACTCGGAGTTTAAACTTGAACTCTGAGTTGATTTACCGAGAGATTAAAAACTCTGAGTTTTCGGTTTCAAAACAGCTGATCTGAGTTGGTTCAATCAACTTTGAGTAGACCAACTCATAGTTAAGCGCGCGCACCGTGACTATAAAAAGGCATTATCAATGGAGCGCAGATATTACGAGTGACTATGGCAACATCTTAAAAAAAGAGATCAGCATTTCTTTCTCCAGCTGAACTTGATGTGCTCATGCAAAGTTATAGCAAATATGAGCGTATATATTTAAAATGAAGCAACCATCAGTGAAACAGAAACAGCGTGGGAAAACAGCTGCTCAAGTTAATGCGTAATTCTTAATTTTAAGTATTTAAACATTTTAAGTATAATAAAATAAGTAATGTAATGTGTGACGTTTATACTTTTTTCTAAACTTTTATACACTTTTATCAGTTTTAATAGATTTAACAGCGCACTTGTTATATGTCTGCCTTTTTATTGATCAAGTGATAGAGGTTGATATAACATTAAGAAGGTAAGCAGTAATAAAATAATTTAGACAGAATAATAATCCCATTAATCTAGTAACAGTGCCTGTCAAAGGTTAAGCTAATTATTTATGAAAAAAAGGACAAGCCTCGTACGTGACTTTGTTCTGTGTGTGCAAAAATGTAGGCAATAGCTGTGTTTTCATCAAAATATAGGCTATTACATAAATTTGTGCAAAACTGGAATAACGCCTAAAAATAAAGCAGCGTTTTTATCCAAAGAGTCGAAGAGAACACAATCGTCACTTCCTGATTAACTTGCGCCAAATATCAACAGTAAAAACAGAATCACTGCGGTAGAAGAAGCTGCATCAATGATTTTTTATTTAATTAATGTACCTGAGCCTCAGAAGACAATTGACACACAATGAACACGTGGGGGCGTTTAAAGCCAGACGCGGAGATCTTGACACACTCCAGACGCTCGGAGGTAATTAATAATATACACTAATACTGAAACAGTAAATGCATTTTAGATTGACTAAAACACCATTTAAGATGTTCTGCAGTGTGCTCAGTCTGCTGGTTTGTTTTTTCACACACATTTTTATCATCATCTTTAACAAACCATTTTTTAATGTACATACTGTAATTTAAGTGCACTTCGTAGTTTATGTGCATCTTATCAAATAAAAGTTTAACCCACTCAGTTATGCACTTGTTATATTATGCATATTTTCAAAAGTTATGTGAATCATGACGTTTCCATCAATCGTTTTTATGCACATCTCCAAAATGAGCTCTAAAATAGGTGTGTGGAAATGTAAGACTAATGCGAGAAATGCCGCTTCATCTTTAAAAAAGGGGAGGAGACCGACAGAAACTCAGAGTTTAGAGAATAAAACCTGCTCCGGACCAGGTTAGATTCACAGAGTAAGTTACCACGGTAACTGACTCTGAGTTAAAGTTAACTCTCTTTTAGAAACAGGCTTGACTTACCCTGCTTTCTCGAGTTTAACAAACCTGCCATTTTGAAACGGAAAACCCAGAGTTTGTCTCATTTCAGGGTTAAACTACTCTGAGTTTTCACTTAACCTGCTTTCTGAAACAGGCCCCAGAACAAATACACGTGGACAACAAAAACAAAACCAACCCACATGATCAAACAGACACTCCGGAAGAGCGCAAAAACCTGCAACCGTGACATAGACTGCCCCAAGTAAAGAAAACTGTGTATCAAATGTCCTTTGTGCCGACTTCCATTAAAATTTCATTAATAATTGAGTTTTTAATGTGGTTTATGTGATGATATTGAATGTTTTTGTGTTGCCTGCTTTTCTGTGATATATGTGATGTGAGCGCTGATGTGGTGAAGGCAAAGATCATTTTAAAACCTACAAACCTGTCAAAGTGCAGGTCATATCCACAGGCCAGGATCGCCCGCCAAACACTGCGGATGTCCTGCTTGGCTCTGTCTAGAGTAAACTTGTGGAAAACTTCCAGCGTCAAAAACTTCTCTTCTGGCACTGTTGAGAAACATCGAGATAAAAGCAGATCATTCACACATTTGATCGAGCGCCTGCTTGAAGTTTTCATAGGATGTGCGCACACCGACCTTGTTTTTAATCACTTACTTTAAGACTCTTACTAAGGAATATACAACTAAATACAAAATCATTTGCCTATCTGTGAAATCATTTTTCAAATATAAATCTTATACATAATTCTTTACTAATTCTATGGAGACGGTGGATAATATTTCCTTAGCTATTTCTGTAGATAGTAGTATTCAGCTTAAAGCAACATTTAAAGGCTTAACTAGGTTAATTAGGTCAATTAGACAAGTCGTTGTATAACTTAAACTTAAAATTCTGTAGCCAATCAAAAAGCTAGCTAGCCGGCAGCTCTCACATTGTCACCCACTGAAGCTAAGCAGGGCTGTGCTCAGTCATTACCTGGATGGGAGACCACATAGAAAAGCTAGGTTGCTGCTGGAAGTAATGTTAGTTTCTAAATGAGGTCCCGACTCTCTGTGGTTGTTAAAAATCCCAGGGGATTTAAAAAAATATTGGGGTTTCACCCTGACATCCTGGCCAAATTTGGCCTCCTAACCATCATAATTGGCTCAATCTTAATATTAATCTGTCTCCTCTCCACCAATCAGCTGATGCGCAATATGGCTGCCGTAAAATGCTATATAAATGAAAGGAAGTAAAATATATATTTATTATAGGGGGGCTAATATTATTGACCTATTTCCCAGTTAAATTAAGACAAATAAGATTTTATCAAGAGTGTTTTAAGCTATTTCCTAATCACTCATATATTGCCTGATTACAGTGGTATACAGTAACATGCTTTTATGACGAACTACCATTTACTGTCAAGTCATTTCCACTTAACATGTCGGAAATCAATGCATGTGCATCTGTGGGGGGTAGTAGTACCAACTTTTTTGGTAGTAGTTTGGTAATACATGCTTCAGTGAACTAAATGTATGAATGTATTTAAATAACATCTAATTTATTAATAAAATGCATACTTTTTTTAACTGTTTTGAAGGATATTTAGTGACTTTTAGAGGTTACTGTAGGTCAAACTATACAAGTTATGTGTTCATTTTTATTTTTTTATTAGGCTACATGCAGATATAAACACCTACAGTATTTTACAAGAAATGTGTGTTGTGAATACTTGAGATGGTATTGGTCCTCAAGAGCTGCTATTTTCAGACTGTTGAATGATATTTTCCTAGCATTGATTGGCACAATTATGCATTTATATTGCTATGAACCGCTCAAATCTATATTTACATTATACTTTTTTATTATTAATATTAAGGACATAGATCAGAGAAAGCATTTTCTTACTAATAACGTGCTGACCCACCTCTCATACGTCTTGTTTTAAAGTCCTTCAGAGGGGATCAAGCAATATTGGAGGGGGTCAAACCCTCCCCAAACCCCCTGTAATTTGCACATTGGTTATATTCACACACTGCTGCCACACAACTGTTTAAACCACTTATAAAAGTGATTTTGCATAATAGGTCCCCTTTAAGACAGTATCACTTCAGGCCAACAGGTGGCAACAAGTCAATATCTACATCATACAATATACTTCAAATCATTTTCACTGAAACATGCATGTTTAACCACATTTCTTAAACAAATCACATATTTTAAGCCAGCGTTTAAGGGACAGTTCACACAGAAATGAACATTTACTCATCATTCACTCACACACAAGTGGTCTCAAACCTTGAATTTCTTCTGTTGAACACAAAAGAAGATATTTTGAAGAATGTTGTAAAAGAAAAACAGCCAAACTTTATTTTGATGGTCAGTTTGTTGAATTTAAGTTACATTGCATCTACAGTACATGCCAACTAATTTTCATTAGACTGTTGGGTTGGGGTTAGGGTAAGTTGACATGCACTTGCAAAGTTTCTTATAGTCAGTTAAATGTCTGTTGAAGGAGCAGAATCAGCAGATATTAAGCAGACAGTCTACTAATACTCAAAATAAAGATGATCTAACCATTAAAATAAAGTGGTACAGACAAAACCCACAATAGTAGGAACGAAAAATACTATGGAAGTCAACAGCTGCTTTTTTCCCACGTTCTTTAGAATATCTTCCTGTACAGACATTATTAGAACCCACTGTACATTATAATTGAAATCCTGATTTGCAATTCTACATTTGATTGTTCTTTGATGCAGTCCTTCTTCTCAAACGGTCTATAAGTTATTGTCTAACACATCAATAGATGTGAAGATAATCCTATTGTTTACTTCTGTGTCTGGAACAAAGTGCTATTATGCTTCTCTTGGATGAATATAAATTACAAGGCTGAGCTTTAATGCTGAATGAGACACACACAAGACAGTTTATTCAATTCACATTTATTGCAAGTGTTTGGCCTGCTGGGGAAATCAAGGTCTTTCTGGAGCAGTGATTGGTCACTCTGGGGATGATGAGTGGAGATCGAGAGGCAGGCCTTCTCGTCTGGAAGAGAACAGAGTCAAGAAAATCAGTGTCGATGTCTAAATGAAGCTGAATTTGAGTATGAATTAACATGACCTCTGACCCACAGAGAACTCTATATATACATATGTGTGTGTGACATACAGCATGTTCCAGAAGTGTTACTAAGCTCAGTCAGATGTCATGTCACTTAAATGAGATGAAATTACCTTTTAGAAAGTGTCCACACTAGCTCCTGCTCCTGAAGTAGGCATAAGCAGCACAGACACCTATGCCGACTCCGACCCAGGCTGCTGGACTGCTCACCGCAGCTTTCACAGCACTTTTCACATTGTTGGAGATCCTTCTTCCCCATGAAGACTCGTTGTTCGCTCTCTCCTCTGTATCTCCAGCGGCCTCTCTCTCTGTTTCTCCACTGGTCTTTCTCTCCTCTGTATCTCCAGCGGCCTCTCTCTCTGTTTCTCCACTGGTCTTTCTCTCCTCTGTATCTCCAGCGGCCTCTCTCTCTGTTTCTCCACTGGTTTTTCTCTCCTCTGTATCTCCAGCAGCCTCTCTCTCTGTTTCTCCACTGGTTTTTCTCTCCTCTGTATCTCCAGCGGCCTCTCTCTCTGTTTCTCCACTGGTCTTTCTCTCCTCTGTTTCTCCAGCTGTCTCTCTCTCTTCTGTTTGTCTTGGAGAGCTGCTGTCATTATCTGAGAGGACCTCAATTGTCTTGTCTGGGCCCCACATGATGATCAGAGGTTTATTCAGTAAATCAGTGAAGTTCAGAGCTTTTTGTGCTCGCACTGCATCACGTCGATGATGGAAAGTCACAAAGGCATAAGCAGGAGAGATGATGTTGTTTCTGCACACTTGCACAGTCGAGATGGACCCCAATGCACCAAACTTTTCAATAAGCTGTTGTTCGGTGACCATTGGGTGCAGATTGCTCACGAGCAGTGTCTTCAGCTCAATAAAGCGGCTCGTGGGGACCACAGGATCTGGTTGCTGGTCCCGTCCTGAATGCTCAAAAGTCACATAAATGTGTCTGCAATTAGTGTCTTCATCAAAAGAAAAATCCAAAGAGTGGATTTGGCTGAACTGTTTCATTGACTCAATCAGTTCTTGTTCGTCCACATTTGGGTCCAAAGTCAGAACAACCGATGACCACTCGTGATGAGGGTTGTCTGAAGACTGATTATAGTAAGAATCCATAGCGAACGAGTCCTTCACAATCACAGATTTGTCAATTCGTACAGTAACTGTGTGATTTACCAAGTCACCGTCCTGAATGCTGACAAACTGAGATGAGCTGTTCTAACATAGAACTACTATAGAACACATTCTATGACTGTCGTTGCTAAGCAACCATCAGCTGAGAGCGCATGTGTGCGCACACAAACAGGATTCTAAATTGTTTATAAATGAATCTTAATCTGTTGACTTTTAGATAAACTATTTATTACTATTGTTTTATCCTACAGATGATTGTTAATGTGCTGTTAATTATTATTTATTAGAAAAACCACCACTACTATGTCAATTGTTTTTATATGTCCTATTTAATGTAAACATCACAAATGCTTTTGAGATACATATGGAACATTTGTCAAGCCAATAAAATAATCTGAAAACATTGACTTTCTCTGTGTGTGTGTTGGTATTTTTAAAGTTTTAACATATACATCTATTGAAAAATAACCAGTTTCTGTTGGTTTACAGAAGCTTTTAACAGAAAACTTTGTCTCCTCAGCTGCTTCAGTTTATTTAATGAAGGATTGAGTGCGGAACAGTTTCTTATCTGAAGATATTCGGTCACAGAACTAAACCTACCTGCAAGAGTGATTTATATTTGACTGAATAGAGTTGATAAAATAATAATATTCACGGGTGTAAAAATTCCTAAATTCACCTCTCACACCATATCCCTTATTAAGCGTCTGTATATACTTAGAAATAATGTATGTATGTATGTATGTATGTGTATACAGTTGATATCAGAATTATTAATCCCCGTTTATTGTTTTTCCCAATTTCTGTTTAACGGAGAGAAAATTATTTCAACACATTTCTAATCATAACAGATTTAATAACTAATTTCTAATAACTGATTTATTTTATCTTTGCCATGATGACAGTAAATAATATTTGACTAGATATTCTTCAAGACACTTCTATACAGCTTAAAGTGACATTTAAAGGCTTAACTAGGTTAATTAGGTTAACTAGGCAGGTTAGGGTAATTAGGCAAGTTATTGTATAACGATGGTTTGTTCTGTAGACTATCAAAAAAAATAAAGCTTAAAGGGGCTAATAATATTGACCTTAAAATGGTGAATAAAAAATTAAAAGCTGCTTTTATTCTAGCTGAAATAAAACAAATAAGACTTTCTCCAGAAGAAAAAATATTATCAGGCATACTGTGAAAATGTCCTTGCTCTGTTAAACATAGTTTAGGAAATACTTAAAAAAAATTAATAAATAAATCAAATGGGGGCTATATATACAGCTGAAGTATAAGCATAAGCAAAATAATTTATTTATTTATATTTATATAATTATTAATTATTATTATTATAATTAACTTGAATACGTTTACATATGTAAACATAATAATTTTTATTATGTACTTAATTATTATTTGATGAATTCAGGCTCGAAATACACTTAATCACCTGCAAAACCACAGTTCAACCTTTAGATGTCAGTAGTTATGTGCCCAGTTATGTGTGACAACAATCATGTCTAATTTTTAGTCATATTTACGTTTTTATTAGCCTTTGCAGTGGAGTGTATATTTAGATATTGAGAGACTTCCTGAAAATTATTATTGGACATATACAGTTGAAGTCAGAATCATAAGCCCTCTTTTATTTATTGTTTTCTTTTTTAAATATTTCCTAAATGATGTTTAACAGAGCAAGGAAATTTTCACAGTATGTCTGATAATATTTGTTCTTCTGGAGAAAGTTTTTTTTGTTTTTATTTTGGCTAGAATAAAAGATTTTTTTTTTTAGTTATTTCAGTTTTTTATTGGTCTTTTGCATGACAATAAAAATTAAATATTGAGAGGTAAACAGTAATGTATTGTCCATAAATAATCCCACCCCCTAACCTCTCGTTCATTAACTCAACAAATGAATTAATACATAAATACCAAAAAAAGAAAATTAAATACATTAGAACATGACATCAGAGTAACTGGATACAGATGGGATAAATAATTAAAACAATAATAATGCATTTAAATAAATACAAAAAATGATAATAATAAAATTAATTAAAACTTTCTGATAAAATGGTTAATGTTACAGGTTGCCAGCACCAGGTGTAATAGGCAGGCCTTTGATGTAGTCAAGAAAGGAATCCCAAATCTTATAAAAGGAATCTAATGAGCCAGAGAGTGAGCAATGAGCATCTCAGCATTCAAAGTCTGATACAGTAAAAAATGTCCTGTATCCACTTGTCATGTGTAGGGGAAGAAGTGTGTCCATTTTAAAAGTATGGCACGTCTGGCTAGAATTGTGGTAAAGGCAAGAACCTTGCTGTCACGCACTGTCAAATCAGGTTCAAGGGATACACCAAAGAGGACTATCAAAGGATCAGGTGAAAATCAGTTTTTAATTTTCTTAAACACCATTTTAAGGTCAATATTATTAGCACTTTTAAGCTATATATTTTTTGATAGTCTACAGAACAAACCATCGTTATACAATAACTCGCCTAATTACCCTAACCTGCCTAGTTAAATATCTAGTCACATATTAGTTACTGTCATCATGGCAAAGATAAAATAGATCAGCTATTAGAAATGAGTTATTAAAACTATTATGTTTAGAAATGTGTTGAAGAAATCTGCTCTCTGTTAAACAGAAATTGGGGAAAGAATAGACAGGGGGGCTAATAATTCTGACTGAACAGAAGAAAAAAACTCAAACAGGTTTTAAACAAGTGGCGGATGAGGAATTC